TCCACGGACTTAACTTTGGTGTCAAGCTCACGGCAAGCCACTTGATTCTCCATCTCCTAAGCTTCATAGTTGATATACTACAAAGAGAATTGAAAACACTAGTTTTCAGTGCCAATACACGCTTTGCAGTGCGGCACCAGAATTGTGACAGGTAGACTTATTATCCGCAGGGTAGCCTAAAATATTTGCAACGACAAACGACTGATACGCACGCACGGGCGGGCGCGAAGAGGGACATCTTAAAAGTGACCGCAGCGCCGCCGCATCCGAATGAATTCTCGCTTGCTCTCCAGCGCGCCGATGCCGACACCTCTCTTTCTAGCCACCATAGCTCTGGAAGTCGAGTCGGCAAGTCAGTTGTGTATTAGGCCTATTTGTGCGGCTAAGTGAGGTAGATCCCGGTGTTATTTCAGCCGGATGGAAAGGAAGCGGCAGAACCATTCATTCCCGCTTCAAAAAAAGCTGCAAATTCTTCAGGAGCTCGATCAAAGTGGCCTGCCCAAGACTGAGGTGGCGAAAAAATGCAACATCCCAAAATCGACGCTGTTGCGGATCTGCAAAGACAGTGAGAAGATTGAAGGTGCTTTAAAGAATGGGACCCTTACATCTATGCGGATGCGAATGCGGACGATGGCTTATCAACTCGAAAAAGTTCTTTTTCTGTGGTTCAAGCCTGCACAGAGTTCCAATTTGCCCATAAGCGGACGAATTCTCGAGCAGAAAGTTCAAGAGATCGTCATGCAAATGGATGTTGAGAACTTCGTCCTAAGCAATGGATGGCTCAGCTGCTTCAAAACACACCATGGCCTAGTCATCAAAGCAATCTCGGGTGAGAGTGTTGCAGTCAACAAGGACATTTGCGCCGACTGGCAACGAGCACGGCTTAAGGAAATTGACGAGTTTTGAGCCACGAGATGTCTTCAACGTTGACGAGATTGATCTTTTTTATAAGGCTCTTCCATCAAAGACTAACCTTCAAAGGCGAAGCGTGTAGTGGAGGAAAACACAGTAAAGATCACATCACTGTACTGGTGGATGCGATAATGACAGGAGATGAGAAATTGAAGCTGTTGGTAACAAAAAAATCAAGGCACCCACATTGTTTTAAAAAAGTTTGACACCTTCCCGTTGTGTACCATTCAAACTGAACAGCGTGGATGACCATGGCTATTTTCAAAAACTGGCTATGGGAGGAAGACGCAACATTTACGAGGCAAGGCAGGAAGGTTGTCTTCATCGTGGATAATTGCCCAGTCCACAGTCAGGTTGAAAGACTCCAAGCCATCACTCTGGAGTTCTTGCCAGCCATGCAATGGCAGTGATCCAGCCAATGCATCAAGAGGTTATTCAGAACATTAAATTTCATTATCACAGACGATTGCTCCATCGAATGCTGTTTTGTGCAGACAGTGGGAAATGCGACAGCATAGATTTATTGGCCGCCATCCACATTTTGGCTAATGCCTGAGAGCAAGTAAAGGCAACAACAATACACAGATCTTTTCATCATGCTGGCTTTTAAGTGTAAGAAGTAGTACCTCATGAAGAACACAGCCCTGCTGATGCGGACATTGATGTATGCAGTGAGGTCGTGCAGTCTGCCCCTTTCACGCTGCAGGACTACAAATACATTGATGAAAATGTTCGTACCTGTCATGAGGAGACTGTCGAGGAAATGACTGCCGAAGTGGAAGATGAGGATCAACAGTCCAGCGATGAATGTGATGATAATATTGCCAGTGTAGTGGTGCCACCAGACCGATCGGCTAAGAAGGGTATTGAACGTTTGCAGCGCTATTTTGAGCATGCGGCTTGTCCAGAATTTATGGACAGTTTTTCAAGCATGGGAGCGCACCTTGTGAAAAACAACTCAAGCTTGCTAAACAAACCACTCTTCACTCCTTTTTTTCTCCTACTAATCCTCATGAGTAAGGTGAGGTTAGTGCAATTTAAATAAATTGTTTATTCACTAGATAAGTGTACTTTGTTGAAATGAAACTTCTGATAAATGGAACAGTTTTATGGATCCCCTTCGAGTTCCGTTTAAGAGGAGTCGACTGCAGTTTTAAGGAAGTGCATCAGGCACCTGTTTATAATTTTCTAAAAGACCTTGCAAAGACAGCTGGTTAACGCTATTGGCCTGTAGCTGGAAACTGAGGATGGGTCCTTGCCTTGTTTTAGAATTGGGATAATGATAGCTTCCTTCCAGGCTGAGGGTAGCTCGGCGGAATACCATATCGCATTATACAGCGAGAGGAGAGCTTTTTGGGTTTCAATGGGCAGATGTTTCAGCATTTCATATGCCACATGGTCCAGGCCTGGGGTAGATTTATTGCAGCAGGTAAGTGAGGCTTGTAGTTCAGCCGAACAGAACCTGCTACCTTACTAACCATGTTCCAGACTCTCGCCTCATCTGTGTATGAATTAATGCCCGATAAGAATTTCTGTTCTTGCCTGTCGGCGCGTCCTCCTTCCTTGCAACTTGATGTTCTTAAAGTTTATAAATTCTTGGCTGTAGGAGAGTCTCTAAGCAACTTCCATGCCTTATTTTGTTTTTTAAGCGCATTACGGCACTCATTCCACCATGGGACTCATTTGCCCGACGGTCCACATGTTTGTGGAATACATTTCGTTGCTGCATCTACCAAGAAAGCTGTAAAGTAGCACACAGCGTCATGCTTAACGCCCCTATGTCAGTCCAAGTTAAATAGAGTCATTTTTTCAAACTGTTCTCAATCGGCTTTGTTGGTGAGCCATTTTGAAACCTGTGAAGGACATATATTTGATATTGATGTGCTGAGAACTACAGGAAAATGGTCACTACCATATGGATTATTGATGAATTCCCATTTAAATAGAGGTAGGAGTGATGGAGATGTTATACCGAGGTCTATTGATGAGTAGGTATTGTTAACAATATCGTAATATGTTGGCTTTTTGCGATTCAGGAGACACGCGCCAGAAGCAAAAAGGAACTGTTCAATCGGGCGACCTCGTGCATCGCAGCATCTCCCCATAAGCTATCATGCGTATTAAAGTCCCCTAGGAACCCATAGGCTTCTGGGAGTTGATCTATGAATGACTGGAATTCCTGTTTATTGATTTGGTGATGCGGGGGTATGTAAATAGAGCAAATTGTGACCAGTTTGTTGAAGAGGACAGCCCGGACGGCTACAGCCTGAAGAGGTGTGTGAAGCGGTAAATGTGCACAAGCTGTTCCTTGATCAACTACGATGGCAACACCGTCAGATGATGCGACAGCATCATCCCAATCTTTTCAAAAAATAGTGTAACTGCGTAGAAAGTCTGTGCGCTTTGAAGTGTGTTTCTTGCACACACAGCCTTTTTGGTGTATGTTTGTGTAGAAGTTCTTAGATATCGTCGAGGTTTCTCAGCAGTCTTCTGACGAACGTTCCACTGTAGTATTTGTGTCATTTTATTGTGTGATGCTATGTGTAGAAAAGTGTTAACTTTGGTTGCAGGGCCTTTTGGGGGCCCTGTAATTCGGGGTTTTTCTTTTTCAGCGTGCTCCTAAGAGTTGTGCCTATCCTTTGGCGCTTGAGGCGCCGGAGGAGGGGGATTTGTATCCATCACCTCCTGCGAGGTGATACGAGGTGTAGATGATGCTTGATTAGCAGGCACGTTCATAGAAGTTTCGGACCTAACTGCGGGTGCAGTAGTCCGGGGTTTAGCAGACTCTGAAGTCTGCTGAACATGTTTAGCAGGAGGCGGAGCAGCACAGGCTACTCCAGCTTTGGGCGCAGACGATGCAACCGTGGTCACACAACCGTGGTCACACAACCGTGGTCACAATCGCGGGCGCGAAAAGATGCGATGCGGCACCCTGGCACTTCACATCTACAAAGGAAGGAGAGTGGTTGCTGTGGAGAGAGAAGTGCTGGCGCACTTCTTGAAAAGACAGATTGAATTTAACTTTAAGTTCAACAATTTGTTTTCCCTTTTTTCAGAATGGGCACAATCGCGAGTAGGCAGGATAGTCTCCTCCACAGTTCACACAGTGGGCTGCAGCAGTACAATCGTCCGATGGGTGTTCGTTGGAGCTACAGCTTGCGCTAGTAGACTGCCCTCTGCAGCTTTGCGACCCATGTCCAAAGCACTGACATTTGAAGCACCTACGAGGATTTGGTATGTAGGGCCTGACTCGAGGCTTGCAGTAGCCGGTCTCAAGTGAATCGGGCAAGTCACTGGTACCCGACGTGATAATTATATGTTTTGTTAGTGTTTCTTTTTTTGTTTCATCATATCACTATTCTTTGGACCTTCACTACATTCTGGTCTTGCCAGCCTTCCAATAGTTCACTCTCCGATAATCCAAGAAGGTCGTCATCATAAATGACACCGCCAACTGTGTTCAAGGATCTGCGGGGGCCTATGGAAACTGGGACATCCCCAAACGCTACTAGATTAGATAGGTTGTCGTATTGAAGCTTGTCACGAACCTCCAAAAGGAGGTCGCCGCTTCCCAACTTGGTTACATGATACCCTGGGCAGTGAGTGTTTTCGAGACAAGAAAAGGTGAGGTTGCTCGGACTGTTTTGTTTTCTTTCCGACATGAAACTTGGGGAATGACGCTTTAGGCACGGCGGCACATTTTTTCAGGGTCACGTATATTTACAACAGTACACAGGAGATTATGGCATCACCATGCAAAGTAAAAAACACGCTTAGGCGCGTATTATTTTCTTGGTATTCCTGGTGATGCTCGGAAACTCATGTAGTCAACTCTGCTAGGTCATTATAGTTCACTAGAATTCAGCCTTTTTTCCCCACTGAAGCTGAAGTTGGCATCAAAATTCTTGCTTTTGGGGCTGTTTTGGAGCCGTTTGGTGCAATTCTCGCGATTTTGATGCTTTTGGAGCAGCTTGGCGCAAGAAAACGGAAACATAAAAAATGCGCAATATGCGCGCAGGTATCTCACCCCTGCTGGATCAGTACGCAACAAGGAAGCAATTTTTATTAATGATGTCCAGGGCACTTACTTCAAAGGGTGAATTGTGTCTTCACCTCGTTGACGGCGCCTCCGACCACTTGACCCACCCATGCCAAACATTCCTCCAAAAGGGCTCCCACCAAAGATGTGCGAGAAGATGTCCTCTGTTCCAAAAGGACCTGCACCAGAGACCATACGTCGGCAAAAAATGTGAAGCTCACTCAGCCTTATAAAATATATTTTGCATTTAGGGCTCACTCGAACTTAGACTTCCCAAAATTTTCCTCAACCAAACTCGCTCAGACCCCAATTCGATAAAACATTTTTCAACTGGGTGCAACTGTAGTCAAAATCGCCAAAATATCACTCGATTGATATGGGGGTTTAACGTCCCAAAACCACCATATGATTATGAGAGGCGCCGTAAAATATCACTCGCAAGGACTAACTCGGACTCAGACTTGCTACTAACGACTCCGTCAGCATAGAAGTGGCTTTTTCAACTATGTTGTCAGTATCTTTTAACAGCAATATCTCACGTAATCTGTGCTCTCCTTGGCCCCCCTTTTGATATTGTACCTTCGAATAAGAGTTATCAGTAGTTGCAATTTCATAAAAACATTTTTATTGAAAGAGATGTTTCTCCACAAGATATTTTTACCAAGTACTTCCCGTGGAAAGGCTCGGTGAGTTGAGGGAGAAGAGGGGGTAGACAATAAACCAACATTAATAAAGATTCCCTGCATCACAAGTAAGTTCCGATCACTTCCGATATTGAAGGATGCAGCGATATCAAAGCGTATGATTTTATTTGAATGGAGAAATAACTTGCTCCAGCAAAAGCTGCACACAATGACAATTTTTAACATCGGCAGTGATGTTCGGTCATGCGAGTGCTCCACAAGTGGCTGCGTATTCCGAGCGATTGGACAAACCAAGTCTTACACAACATTCATGTGGTCCCAGCAGGGTCACAATATTTGTGCTCAAAAATAATTTTTACAGTAATTTACCAGATACAAAAGGGTATCTGTTTTTAAATGCCTAGCTTTGAAAACAATTGACAAGACACTATGTTCTGCACAATGCCCACCACAAACTAGGACAGACTTCCAGTACAGGTAAAGAAGAGGGAAGTTTCTTGTGTGAGCTCAGATTTTAAACTATGAAGACTAGCAACTTCAATTTTCGTGCACCAATTCATCTCTTTTTTTTCATTCACCCTAGCATTCAGTACTACATAAGGTAGTTAAAAACTATGCCAGTGCTGAACAAACAGCAGTCACTGTGAAAGCTCAAACAGCAGTTTTTCCAAATTCCCAAAGCCTACTGTAAACTCTCTTGGGACAACTAATACAAGTACACTTGTAAAAGGAGGAAGGACCGGGAGGTTAGCCAGTTCTCAGACCGGCTGGCTGCCATGTGCTAGGGAAGGGGAAAAAAAGACAGAAAAGAGAATAAGTAAAAAAAGGATGGGGGGGGGGGGGGAAGAAAGACAACAGTACGTTCCACAATGCTGCTTACAGTCTGTCTAAGACCACTTGCCCGCAAGGAGCACAACAACGCTCTCAATGCTTTGAGTGTTGACTGTCTCAGCCAATGTCCTTTCGTCCGACAGTTGACGATTGTCAAGTCTATCTAGAACTTCAACAGTTCTTTCCTTGGTGCACTGAAGCGAGGATACTCGCAGATGTGATGGGGAATCATCTCCGCGCAGCCACCATGCTTGAAAGGTAACCATTACGCATGGAAGCACCCAATATACCATTATTCGTTATTGTGCGGAGATGTGTAGTACTCGTTCCACATCTTTAAGGCATTATGTGCACTTTCTGCGGTGGCTGATGACGAAGAAGTATGACAGAGTCCTTTGCAACGGGCTGGAAGCAATCAACGGACCATTCAAGCAATTCAGGTTGCACGATGCCCAATGCTATATTACAAAAATATTTACACTACTCTCTGCCTGACATGACTCCTTGGTATTTTCTCCGAAGAAACTCACGAGGATGGGAAATTAAATAACGCGGCACACTAAAAACCACTATATTACAGTTTTAGGAATTAGCATGTATACTCGAGCATTTATACATGACCATGAAGTCTATTAACAGCTTAAACAAAGTTTCCTTTATGTGAATTTGTCTCAGTGCTGCTTTCATGAGGAACATCCACAAACTGGGTCCTGGACCTATCGATTATTAAACTCTTTGATGGTAGTTATTAAGTATGTAAGTATACAGTGATAGAAACTACTCTGAAGCTATCAATAATGCTCATACTTGTATAGAGATTATAGAACATTTTGAATACTGAACGCAAGTATGTTGAAAAGCTTGCCTCACAAAAATTCTAGCGTCTGTGTCAGTTGCAAGCAAAAAATCATCTCGTCCATGACTGAAAAATCGAGACACAAACAAAACAATAAAAAATTTTGGTTCAAAGTGAGTATCCAACCCAAGTATGTAACTATTAAAAAAATATTGTTCATAAAGCACTCATAATAAAGTTTAATCAATAACTTATATTTAATAAAAGTTCATTGTTGCTATAAAGAAAGACTGTGGATATAATAGATCCTGTATGCTCCACAGATCATATGGCCGATATGTGTGCAGTTTGCAAATCCACTTTTCACCAACTTTTTCACCAACTGTGCCAAAGTCAGACTTAGGATAGTCTCTCACCGACAACGGCCACATCGGTGCGTCTTAACGTGTGAAGCTTGTTCTTAGGGCCATCAGTCACAACCACATACTATCGGCATCAAATGAAACCCGAACAGCAGAGCGCGTGTTTCAAGCATTAGAAACAGTATAGTGTTGGCCGTCCAGTCATCACCATTGACAGGCGTGCACGTCCAGATTGGCAGCACTGCGCGATCTCCCTATAGAGTGCGTTATCTCAGTTTCTGCCCCAGTTTTGGTATGGTGATAATGGTGGCCATCGTGGGCGTATTTGGTTGTATCACTTGCAATTCCTTGCTTTTACTTCAACGTCGCAGTGTAATCAGTGTCTTGGAAAGATAAAACAAAAAGAGAAATATAATCGGCTGGCGGTTTATTTCAAAACGATCGTTGTATCTCGTTTGCCAGCGCTGCTTCACCTGTACCCTTCTTTCAAAGACCGACTGGAAAAGGCTTCACTTTAACTGGAAATGTCGAGCGCTTCTTTAGAACAGAGACCGCAAATTGTGTTGCTTTACCGGCACAAAGTGAAATAGCGTGAAATTGCTAGCATTGTGAACAGTTTTGTCTAATATAAATAGAATTTGCCAGGCATTCCGTGATTATGGGCTCCATGATGACAAACCGTGCTACAATACTCGTCTTCGGCTACAGTAGTTTAACCTCTGTATTTTTTATTTTGTTCCTTTCAAACATTACCATACCTGGAAAGAGCAGAAATGCGGCACTATAGGGGGATCGTGCAGTGCTGCCACACCGAATGTGTGGGCCTGTCTGTGTCGATGACTGGTGAACGGCACGCACTATGCCATTGATAAGGCTTGTGCCACGCGCTCAGCTGTTCGCGTTTCATTTGATGCCGATAGTACCTAGAACTATTCAGCTAAACAAGCGGTCGACGTGCGTGCGTTTCAAGTAATAAATGTTGCTGTGATCGCTGGCCATGCAGCTTCTGTTGTGCAAGTCGGCTCAATGGCGAAACACGCTTTCCTCAGTGGCTCATGATGTCTAGCCCCATCGGTAGCGTGTTACTGTGGGGGTGATTCATTGGCGGATGTCGGTCGTTCCAGGAGTGCTGCCAATAGCTTTATCAAAGTTCTACTTTGGTGATTTTTTGACCACGTCATGATAATGGTGCATTGATCTTCCAGAGACACTCTTGTCACCAGCGGGATAGCTGAAATCAACAAATTTGAAAATAATTAATTACCGAAAAACCGTAATACCGAAACCCAACCAAGTGCGCTACTACATGCGACTTAATCATTTACACGTACCTGCCTGATTGCGCATAATGCTAGCCAGATAGCACTCCCTGTCCACACAGTCAGCCGTGATCGGCTAAAATGCTTACGCTGTTATGGTGAATACATGGCTAATCGCGTGTGGCTCACAACACACCACTTGGTACCTATCGCACTTCCACCAAAATGTAAAAGGAAATTGCACGCTCAACCAAGGAAGTGCGGGCCTAACCCACACAATTCATAGCAGACAAGCAGACCAGACGCTGCAGTGGCACATCAGTTCTGCGACTTCCGCCATGCAAAACTCAACGTCAAAGGCACAGTGTTGCCATGAATTCTAACAAGCGAGGTGAGCGTTTCGAAGCAAGCTATAAAATTCATTTGGAAAGTATCTGAAACTCTCAAGCTTGCAATTTGGCATGAATGGTGGAAACATGCAAATGAACATGCCCAGTGAATTTCATTGAGATTCATTACCCTCGAAATATCGTCGGAGTTGCCCTTTAGAAATTCGCACTGCACATACTGAAAGCAATTTTCACAAATAACTTCACGCGTGCTGGCAGAATGTCTGTCGTGTCTATATCTGAACATCGCAATCTAATTTTCCGGACTTCGCGCCCACAGAACATGTGAACGATGGCAACGCGTTGACACCTTTTCTCTAATATGCTGTATCTATAGACATTCATTTACAAGAGTTTTTTCGCAATTCCTTGCCCTAGCACATCTGCATTTGTAATTGCGGTTGCGTTGGAAGCCCCTTAAAGACCCTGCCCGTTCAAGCTTGTGAGCAGTTTTTGGTAGCTTCTGCCACGGTTGATCGGTGGCTACGGTGTTCTGCTGCTGACCCGAAGGTCGCGGGTTCGATTGGGCGCATTTCGGTGGAGGGGAAATAGTTGGAGGCCAGTGTTCTGTGCTAAGTCTGCGCATGTTGAACACAAGGCGGTCAAAATTTGTAGTCCTTCACTACGTGGCGTCTCTCATAATTATACCGTGGTTTTGGGATGTAGAACTCCATATATTATTATAATTAATATTATTCAGTCTTGGGCAGTTACTAGTAACACGTTACCAGTAACCTTGAAGTTACAGGAACTTGTAACTGTAATGGAAAGTACTGTTAGTTACTTTTGTTTCTATAAAAAGCTGCTGCTAATCTTTGTTTTATTTATTTGTAACCATTACAGAGGGTCCTTTTGCAGATTAATATTTTAGGACCCTCTGTGTATTTTATATTCTGTGACAATCCTCTCTTCGCAATAATAAAAACTGATCGATTTCTTCCCGAAACTTCCTGGCAAAATTAAAAATTGTTTTTATTTAACTGCTTTGAATAGCAACATTTTGATGATTCCGCTCTTAAATGATCTAAAATGCAATGTTAATGCATACTGTTATGTATGTCGCAAATTCTCGATATGCCACAGAAGCGAGGACCTTGCAACAAAAACGTATTTCTAAACAATGTAACATGTCGTGTGCTGCCTCTTTGGTGCATAGACACCAAATAAACAGTTACTGAAGGTACAACTTGCATCACCCAGATGAAGAGAGCGCATCTATTGCACGTGCTGCGCGCTCTGTCATTAGCTACAAAATTGGTTCTAGCATAAAATAGCTTAGACTAGACTGCGCTAGATTTATCAAGCTGAAAGCTACGTTTTCCGCGAGTACTTGACGGCAGGCATTAACGGTGGCATACATTTTGTGACTGGCTTGCTCAAAGTTTTTGGTATGTCTCAAATTCTCAACACTTGGCAGTAAAGGGCAAAAGGATGCCTGAGCATTGCCTTAGAAAATCGAAGCACGATAGCGAAATCGGGCCCTGTGTTCACTACTTTCAAGTGTGCCGCAAGGAAAGCAATGCTCTTGAACGTAACACTGGCCATTTAAAACTATCAGAGTGTCTACCGAATGTACAGTTGCTAAGTGCCCACTACACCATAGTTCTTTTTTTTTTTTAATTAAGGAAGCACCCACTACTTGTCCATAAGGTGCCCTGTGCACTTGCATAGCTGCACTCTTTAGAATGTGAGGGCAGCTCCAACACATCCACTCGTGCAGCTCACATGTTTTGATGCCCGGTACAATTCTAGGATTCTGCCACACAATATTGCATGTGTTAAGGAGACTCAGTTCACTTCATGACATTCATATCATCTTTTTTTTTTTCCCAAAGCAGTTTCAATCCATTTCAAGAACACCTGCTTGTCATTCAAATTAAGTTACTTGGGTTGGATACTCACTTTGAACCAAAATTTTTTATTGTTTTGTTTGTGTCTCGATTTTTCAGTCATGGACGAGATGATTTTTTGCTTGCAACTGACACAGACGCTAGAATTTTTGTGAGGCAAGCTTTTCAACATACTTGCGTTCAGTATTCAAAATGTTCTATAATCTCTATACAAGTATGAGCATTATTGATAGCTTCAGAGTAGTTTCTATCACTGTATACTTACATACTTAATAACTACCATCAAAGAGTTTAATAATCGATAGGTCCAGGACCCAGTTTGTGGATGTTCCTCATGAAAGCAGCACTGAGACAAATTCACATAAAGGAAACTTTGTTTAAGCTGTTAATAGACTTCATGGTCATGTATAAATGCTCGAGTATACATGCTAATTCCTAAAACTGTAATATAGTGGTTTTTAGTGTGCCGCGTTATTTAATTTCCCATCCTCGTGAGTTTCTTCGGAGAAAATACCAAGGAGTCATGTCAGGCAGAGAGTAGTGTAAATATTTTTGTAATATAGCATTGGGCATCGTGCAACCTGAATTGCTTGAATGGTCCGTTGATTGCTTCCAGCCCGTTGCAAAGGACTCTGTCATACTTCTTCGTCATCAGCCACCGCAGAAAGTGCACATAATGCCTTAAAGATGTGGAACGAGTACTACACATCTCCGCACAATAACGAATAATGGTATATTGGGTGCTTCCATGCGTAATGGTTACCTTTCAAGCATGGTGGCTGCGCGGAGATGATTCCCCATCACATCTGCGAGTATCCTCGCTTCAGTGCACCAAGGAAAGAACTGTTGAAAGTTCTAGATAGACTTGACAATCGTCAACTGTCGGACGAAAGGACATTGGCTGAGACAGTCAACACTCAAAGCATTGAGAGCGTTGTTGTGCTCCTTGCGGGCAAGTGGTCTTAGACAGACTGTAAGCAGCATTGTGGAACGTACTGTTGTCTTTCTTCCCCCCCCCCCCCCATCCTTTTTTTACTTATTCTCTTTTCTGTCTTTTTTTCCCCTTCCCTAGCACATGGCAGCCAGCCGGTCTGAGAACTGGCTAACCTCCCGGTCCTTCCTCCTTTTACAAGTGTACTTGTATTAGTTGTCCCAAGAGAGTTTACAGTAGGCTTTGGGAATTTGGAAAAACTGCTGTTTGAGCTTTCACAGTGACTGCTGTTTGTTCAGCACTGGCATAGTTTTTAACTACCTTATGTAGTACTGAATGCTAGGGTGAATGAAAAAAAAGAGATGAATTGGTGCACGAAAATTGAAGTTGCTAGTCTTCATAGTTTAAAATCTGAGCTCACACAAGAAACTTCCCTCTTCTTTACCTGTACTGGAAGTCTGTCCTAGTTTGTGGTGGGCATTGTGCAGAACATAGTGTCTTGTCAATTGTTTTCAAAGCTAGGCATTTAAAAAACAGATACCCTTTTGTATCTGGTAAATTACTGTAAAAATTATTTTTGAGCACAAATATTGTGACCCTGCTGGGACCACATGAATGTTGTGTAAGACTTGGTTTGTCCAATCGCTCGGAATACGCAGCCACTTGTGGAGCACTCGCATGACCGAACATCACTGCCGATGTTAAAAATTGTCATTGTGTGCAGCTTTTGCTGGAGCAAGTTATTTCTCCATTCAAATAAAATCATACGCTTTGATATCGCTGCATCCTTCAATATCGGAAGTGATCGGAACTTACTTGTGATGCAGGGAATCTTTATTAATGTTGGTTTATTGTCTACCCCCTCTTCTCCCTCAACTCACCGAGCCTTTCCACGGGAAGTACTTGGTAAAAATATCTTGTGGAGAAACATCTCTTTCAATAAAAATGTTTTTATGAAATTGCAACTACTGATAACTCTTATTCGAAGGTACAATATCAAAAGGGGGGCCAAGGAGAGCACAGATTACGTGAGATATTGCTGTTAAAAGATACTGACAACATAGTTGAAAAAGCCACTTCTATGCTGACGGAGTCGTTAGTAGCAAGTCTGAGTCCGAGTTAGTCCTTGCGAGTGATATTTTACGGCGCCTCTCATAATCATATGGTGGTTTTGGGACGTTAAACCCCCATATCAATCGAGTGATATTTTGGCGATTTTGACTACAGTTGCACCCAGTTGAAAATGTTTTATCGAATTGGGGTCTGAGCGAGTTTGGTTGAGGAAAATTTTGGGAAGTCTAAGTTCGAGTGAGCCCTAAATGCAAAATATATTTTATAAGGCTGAGTGAGCTTCACATTTTTTGCCGACGTATGGTCTCTGGTGCAGGTCCTTTTGGAACAGAGGACATCTTCTCGCACATCTTTGGTGGGAGCCCTTTTGGAGGAATGTTTGGCATGGGTGGGTCAAGTGGTCGGAGGCGCCGTCAACGAGGTGAAGACACAATTCACCCTTTGAAGTAAGTGCCCTGGACATCATTAATAAAAATTGCTTCCTTGTTGCGTACTGATCCAGCAGGGGTGAGATACCTGCGCGCATATTGCGCATTTTTTATGTTTCCGTTTTCTTGCGCCAAGCTGCTCCAAAAGCATCAAAATCGCGAGAATTGCACCAAACGGCTCCAAAACAGCCCCAAAAGCAAGAATTTTGATGCCAACTTCAGCTTCAGTGGGGGAAAAAAGGCTGAATTATAGTGAACTATAATGACCTAGCAGAGTTGACTACATGAGTTTCCGAGCATCACCAGGAATACCAAGAAAATAATACGCGCCTAAGCGTGTTTTTTACTTTGCATGGTGATGCCATAATCTCCTGTGTACTGTTGTAAATATACGTGACCCTGAAAAAATGTGCCGCCGTGCCTAAAGCGTCATTCCCCAAGTTTCATGTCGGAAAGAAAACAAAACAGTCCGAGCAACCTCACCTTTTCTTGTCTCGAAAACACTCACTGCCCAGGGTATCATGTAACCAAGTTGGGAAGCGGCGACCTCCTTTTGGAGGTTCGTGACAAGCTTCAATACGACAACCTATCTAATCTAGTAGCGTTTGGGGATGTCCCAGTTTCCATAGGCCCCCGCAGATCCTTGAACACAGTTGGCGGTGTCATTTATGATGACGACCTTCTTGGATTATCGGAGAGTGAACTATTGGAAGGCTGGCAAGACCAGAATGTAGTGAAGGTCCAAAGAATAGTGATATGATGAAACAAAAAAAGAAACACTAACAAAACATATAATTATCACGTCGGGTACCAGTGACTTGCCCGATTCACTTGAGACCGGCTACTGCAAGCCTCGAGTCAGGCCCTACATACCAAATCCTCGTAGGTGCTTCAAATGTCAGTGCTTTGGACATGGGTCGCAAAGCTGCAGAGGGCAGTCTACTAGCGCAAGCTGTAGCTCCAACGAACACCCATCGGACGATTGTACTGCTGCAGCCCACTGTGTGAACTGTGGAGGAGACTATCCTGCCTACTCGCGATTGTGCCCATTCTGAAAAAAGGGAAAACAAATTGTTGAACTTAAGTTAAATTCAATCTGTCTTTTCAAGAAGTGCGCCAGCACTTCTCTCTCCACAGCAACCACTCTCCTTCCTTTGTAGATGTGAAGTGCCAGGGTGCCGCATCGCATCTTTTCGCGCCCGCGATTGTGACCACGGTTGTGTGACCACGGTTGTGTGACCACGGTTGCATCGTCTGCGCCCAAAGCTGGAGTAGCCTGTGCTGCTCCGCCTCCTGCTAAACATGTTCAGCAGACTTCAGAGTCTGCTAAACCCGGACTACTGCACCCGCAGTTAGGTCCGAAACTTCTATGAACGTGCCTGCTAATCAAGCATCATCTACACCTCGTATCACCTCGCAGGAGGTGATGGATACAAATCCCCCTCCTCCGGCGCCTCAAGCGCCAAAGGATAGGCACAACTCTTAGGAGCACGCTGAAAAAGAAAAACCCCGAATTACAGGGCCCCCAAAAGGCCCTGCAACCAAAGTTAACACTTTTCTACACATAGCATCACACAATAAAATGACACAAATACTACAGTGGAACGTTCGTCAGAAGACTGCTGAGAAACCTCGACGATATCTAAGAACTTCTACACAAACATACACCAAAAAGGCTGTGTGTGCAAGAAACACACTTCAAAGCGCACAGACTTTCTACGCAGTTACACTATTTTTGAAAAGATTGGGATGATGCTGTCGCATCATCTGACGGTGTTGCCATCGTAGTTGATCAAGGAACAGCTTGTGCACATTTACCGCTTCACACACCTCTTCAGGCTGTAGCCGTCCGGGCTGTCCTCTTCAACAAACTGGTCACAATTTGCTCTATTTACATACCCCCGCATCACCAAATCAATAAACAGGAATTCCAGTCATTCATAGATCAACTCCCAGAAGCCTATGGGTTCCTAGGGGACTTTAATACGCATGATAGCTTATGGGGAGATGCTGCGATGCACGAGGTCGCCCGATTGAACAGTTCCTTTTTGCTTCTGGCGCGTGTCTCCTGAATCGCAAAAAGCCAACATATTACGATATTGTTAACAATACCTACTCATCAATAGACCTCGGTATAACATCTCCATCACTCCTACCTCTATTTAAATGGGAATTCATCAATAATCCATATGGTAGTGACCATTTTCCTGTAGTTCTCAGCACATCAATATCAAATATATGTCCTTCACAGGTTTCAAAATGGCTCACCAACAAAGCCGATTGAGAACAGTTTGAAAAAATGACTCTATTTAACTTGGACTGACATAGGGGCGTTAAGCATGACGCTGTGTGCTACTTTACAGCTTTCTTGGTAGATGCAGCAACGAAATGTATTCCACAAACATGTGGACCGTCGGGCAAATGAGTCCCATGGTGGAATGAGTGCCGTAATGCGCTTAAAAAACAAAATAAGGCATGGAAGTTGCTTAGAGACTCTCCTACAGCCAAGAATTTATAAACTTTAAGAACATCAAGTTGCAAGGAAGGAGGACGCGCCGACAGGCAAGAACAGAAATTCTTATCGGGCATTAATTCATACACAGATGAGGCGAGAGTCTGGAACATGGTTAGTAAGGTAGCAGGTTCTGTTCGGCTGAACTACAAGCCTCACTTACCTGCTGCAATAAATCTACCCCAGGCCTGGACCATGTGGCATATGAAATGCTGAAACATCTGCCCATTGAAACCCAAAAAGCTCTCCTCTCGCTGTATAATGCGATATGGTATTCCGCCGAGCTACCCTCAGCCTGGAAGGAAGCTATCATTATCCCAATTCTAAAACAAGGCAAGGACCCATCCTCAGTTTCCAGCTACAGGCCAATAGCGTTAACCAGCTGTCTTTGCAAGGTCTTTTAGAAAATTATAAACAGGTGCCTGATGCACTTCCTTAAAACTGCAGTCGACTCCTCTTAAACGGAACTCGAAGGGGATCCATAAAACTGTTCCATTTATCAGAAGTTTCATTTCAACAAAGTACACTTATCTAGTGAATAAACAATTTATTTAAATTGCACTAACCTCACCTTACTCATGAGGATTAGTAGGAGAAAAAAGGAGTGAAGAGTGGTTTGTTTAGCAAGCTTGAGTTGTTTTTCACAAGGTGCGCTCCCATGCTTGAAAAACTGTCCATAAATTCTGGACAAGCCGCATGCTCAAAATAGCGCTGCAAACGTTCAATACCCTTCTTAGCCGATCGGTCTGGTGGCACCACTACACTGGCAATATTATCATCACATTCATCGCTGGACTGTTGATCCTCATCTTCCACTTCGGCAGTCATTTCCTCGACAGTCTCCTCATGACAGGTACGAACATTTTCATCAATGTATTTGTAGTCCTGCAGCGTGAAAGGGGCAGACTGCACGACCTCACTGCATACATCAATGTCCGCATCAGCAGGGCTGTGTTCTTCATGAGGTACTACTTCTTACACTTAAAAGCCAGCATGATGAAAAGATCTGTGTATTGTTGTTGCCTTTACTTGCTCTCAGGCATTAGCCAAAATGTGGATGGCGGCCAATAAATCTATGCTGTCGCATTTCCCACTGTCTGCACAAAACAGCATTCGATGGAGCAATCGTCTGTGATAATGAAATTTAATGTTCTGAATAACCTCTTGATGCATTGGCTGGATCACTGCCATTGCATGGCTGGCAAGAACTCCAGAGTGATGGCTTGGAGTCTTTCAACCTGACTGTGGACTGGGCAATTATCCACGATGAAGACAACCTTCCTGCCTTGCCTCGTAAATGTTGCGTCTTCCTCCCATAGCCAGTTTTTGAAAATAGCCATGGTCATCCACGCTGTTCAGTTTGAATGGTACACAACGGGAAGGTGTCAAACTTTTTTAAAACAATGTGGGTGCCTTGATTTTTTTGTTACCAACAGCTTCAATTTCTCATCTCCTGTCATTATCGCATCCACCAGTACAGTGATGTGATCTTTACTGTGTTTTCCTCCACTACACGCTTCGCCTTTGAAGGTTAGTCTTTGATGGAAGAGCCTTATAAAAAAAGATCAATCTCGTCAACGTTGAAGACATCTCGTGGCTCAAAACTCGTCAATTTCCTTAAGCCGTGCTCGTTGCCAGTCGGCGCAAATGTCCTTGTTGACTGCAACACTCTCACCCGAGATTGCTTTGATGACTAGGCCATGGTGTGTTTTGAAGCAGCTGAGCCATCCATTGCTTAGGACGAAGTTCTCAACATCCATTTGCATGACGATCTCTTGAACTTTCTGCTCGAGAATTCGTCCGCTTATGGGCAAATTGGAACTCTGTGCAGGCTTGAACCACAGAAAAAGAACTTTTTCGAGTTGATAAGCCATCGTCCGCATTCGCATCCGCATAGATGTAAGGGTCCCATTCTTTAAAGCACCTTCAATCTTCTCACTGTCTTTGCAGATCCGCAACAGCGTCGATTTTGGGATGTTGCATTTTTTCGCCACCTCAGTCTTGGGCAGGCCACTTTGATCGAGCTCCTGAAGAATTTGCAGCTTTTTTGAAGCGGGAATGAATGGTTCTGCCGCTTCCTTTCCATCCGGCTGAAATAACACCGGGATCTACCTCACTTAGCCGCACAAATAGGCCTAATACACAACTGACTTGCCGACTCGACTTCCAGAGCTATGGTGGCTAGAAAGAGAGGTGTCGGCATCGGCGCGCTGGAGAGCAAGCGAGAATTCATTCGGATGCGGCGGCGCTGCGGTCACTTTTAAGATGTCCCTCTTCGCGCCCGCCCGTGCGTGCGTATCAGTCGTTTGTCGTTGCAAATATTTTAGGCTACCCTGCGGATAATAAGTCTACCTGTCACAATTCTGGTGCCGCACTGCAAAGCGTGTATTGGCACTGAAAACTAGTGTTTTCAATTCTCTTTGTAGTATATCAACTATGAAGCTTAGGAGATGGAGAATCAAGTGGCTTGCCGTGAGCTTGACACCAAAGTTAAGTCCGTGGAGTT